ACTTGCAATAATTTGATTCTATATCTGCAGTGGAAAATTTTAAATGGATTTTCTCTGCTCACCCACTTACATTCAGACCCTAATTGTTCTTCTCTCTGCTTAATAGCAGCAGGGTTAGGGACTGGGGTGAGTTTGCTCCCATAAGGAGGAGATCTCGGAGGAAGTCCCACTAACGGGGGCAAAAAAAAAAAAATCCAATCTCAATTTGTACATATCCTTAATGTGCACAATTCTGTTTTACAATGGAGTCTTCATTAACTGGAAAGGAACACAACACCTGGCAGAAAAGAATACAGCTAGTTCTTTAGGATTTTGCACGTTCAGGAACGTCGTAGACAAAGCCGGTCAGACTATTTGTTGTAAAAAAATGTTTGTGGTGAAAGTGACCGTTTTGACTGATTGCAAATTGTCCACACACAGATTATGATTTTTACAAATGTGTTATTTATTCCAAATTGTTTGATGAATATTTTAGACGACCACATGTCAGTCAGTGGAGTGCACGTGTACTGTTTCTATCGAGTTTACATTTGATGAGCTGCCATTTGGAATTTGCTACCTGAGCTGTATGGTTGATCACTAAAAGCATGCAGGATTGGTTGGGATCACTGAGTGGGTAACTTAGCCTTTCAAACTTCTTCTGCCCAAAACAAATTTAGCTTCAGCACCTATTAATTTCAGCAATGGGCCCAAACTTCACTTTATTTGAATTTTCACAGGAGCAAACCTGTGCTCATACGAATGTTTGCAAAAAGTGAACAAAAATCGAGGTGCTCAAAATAGGATTTCGTGTCCATAGACATGTCTGCAAATACTGTTTCCCGGTATGCCCCCAGTTTGAGTCCTGATCCTGGCTCACCAGGAGGCTAACAGAGCACCAGAAAGTCTGATATGTCAGTCATGAAAGCAAGTAACACCAAACCTACAGCCTTTAAAATGGCCTCAAAACCAGTTTCTCCCCAGTATTGGACTTTCAGCTGTGTGACTCAGGGTATGTCTTTGCTGCAAAAGAGATGTGATCTTAGCTGGGGTTATCTAACTCATGTTAGCTCAATTGGGTTAAAACAGTAGTGAAGACATGGCAACTTGCCTTTTAACTTGGGTTAGCAGCTTGAGTTAAAGCTATGAGGGGTGCCTGGACTTGAACTTGAGCTGCCCACCCTAGTTAAAACCAGAATTGCAATGTCTTTGCTGCTATTGTAACCTCAGTTAGCTAACAAAGGTCAGCTAACCTGAGTTAAGAGCACACCTTTTATCTGCAATGAAAACATACTCTTAAAGTGCCCTCTGACACTTCTGGTAATTCCTCAACTGGTGAAACAGTGTCCCAGAAACCTCATTCCACCATGGTTTGCTAGCCAAGGTGTTGCATGCACCTGACTCTCTCCACCACCAGCTGAGAGGAGCTGGCAAAGAGGAGTGTGGACTGACACCTTTTGTCAAGCACTGTTTAAGGAACTGTGAGGACAGCTGGAGCAGGGCCAAGTCTGACAGGGCCCAATGATGGAATTCTGTTACTTTGTAACAAGGGTTTAGGGGTCAGAGAGGTCACTTCAATCTCCTGCATTTGCTTCCTTTGGGAAGGCTACTAGCATGCCCATAACGTGAAAGTTTCAGGGCTGACTGTTCCATCGCTGGCTTCTGGGTAATAATTGACTTCCCCACCTCTCCTTTCAATATGTTGCTGGGATAAGGTTTTGTTTTCTTGTTCCCAAATCTACAGTATATTTTCTTGTGTCAGATTGTCTCTCCAAAATGGCTTGATCCAATATGTTCATACTTTACATCAGTGATTTTCAACCTGCGGTCCGCAGACCCCTGTGTCTCAGATTTCCAAAGAGGTCTGCACCTCCATTTGAAAAATTTTAGGGGTCTACAAATGAAAAAGAGGTTGAAAACCCATGGCTTTACATAACTAGCTAGGTATGTTTCTGATACCTTACTCAGAGGCTATCTTTGCAAATTTGCAATGATGATTTTTACAAGGAACCCGGCCTGCCCCTCAGTTGACTCCAGTTCTAAATTTTTCTAATACTGTTGAATGCTCCCAAAGACTCATCTACAACGAGAAGGGTGATGGTTAGTGGTCTCAGAATGAGAAGAGCTATGGTCTAGGTGATGTGGTGTTAGATTAGTTAGGGAGCCTGGATTCTATTCTTGGTTCCTCCACTGACCCGCTGTGTGACTTGGGGGCGAGCCACTTCTCTCTGTTTCCCCTCCCACCATTGTTTCTGTCTTGTCTATTTAGACTGTAAGTTCTTCAGAGCAGGGACTGTCTCATATTGTTTGTACAGGGCTAGCACAATGGGGCCCTGAGGTCAGCTGGGGCCTATGTGCTTTTATAATATAAATAATGATAAATAGGCCTAAGAGTGAGGAACTCCTGGGGTTTTAGCCCTGGCTTTGATATAGATTCCTTGGTAGCCTTGGGCAAGTCATTAAACTTCTCTGCTTCAGTTCCCCCACTGATAATACAAGGATCCTTGCCTACCTTACAGAATAGTTAATGTTAGTAAAGTCCATAAAAGTGCCAGAGATGTCACAAATCTCACTTAAGTATGAAAAGAAAAAGAGTACAGGCCAAAGGAGCAGTGTGTGGGCATGTAGAAAGTTTCTATATGCAAATCAAACAGGAGACAGTAAACAAGGAGCTCCTGAGGGCTTAGAAGGAGATGTAGAAGCAAGGAGAAAAAATGTTTCTGGAATGATGGACACAAGAAAGCAAAGACTTGATTGGCAAGATGTGTCTATAAGTGCAAACAAGAAAATATTTATTCTTCAAATTCTGTTCTCAGTTTCATAGATTACAGAAGAAACCTCTCTCTTTCTCACCCTGTCTCACCTGGCTGTTCAGTCTATGATGGCTCCTAATTTCACCTTCCATTCTAAATCGCTCTCTTTATAGCTAAAAGTGCTGGATCCAGATGTTTAAATCTGCATGTGTACATAATTTGTGTGCGCAACTAGTACATTTACAAATACAATTAATTAGTGCAGAAACAATGCAACTGGTCATTTACCTGTGCAAATTACTCACCTTTGTGGAAACTGGATTCTAATATCAATACCTATTTCAGGATCATTTCCTGATGGTAGAAATTTTAAATAGATTTAAAAATAATAAATGAACTATTTAAAAGCTATACATTTTTGATAAGAAATGGTTATTCCCTATAGTGCATCATGTAGGACAGTCTGTACACAGGGTACAGAGAACAGAAATGACTCTTGGGACCTGTTTATTATATATTTATGCAAGCCTACTTAATATGAACAGGGATGTTTGCATGTGTCTTTTAAATGGCAAAGAAAACAGTTCTGTTTGGATTTAACATTTCCTCCTGAAATGGTGTGAACAGGAACAACACCATTATACTAGAGCCTGAAGGAGAAAAGTGACTAGAAAGTCACTACCATCAAAAACGAAATTGACCCATGTCGTTGTTTGACCAGAGCATAAAATGTGGACCAAGTTAACAGTCTAGATGCTGAAAAGGAGGTTCGATTTGAAAAGCTGGGCTGTAATAAGGTAAGGGGTGGCCACTGGCTAATGACCAGGGCTGGCCTTACCATGAGGCAAACTGAGGCAGTCGCCTCAGGTGCCTGACTGTGGAGGGGCGCCACTAGGACCCAGAGTTTCAAAGTTTTGGCCCAAGCGAGGGTGCATGGGGTCCTCATTTGAGCTCCCTGCCTCAGGTGCCAAAATGTTGTGGGCCGGGCCTGTTAATGAGAAAGGAAAGAACTGACAGAATCCCTGACAGTCAAGATGGGGACGGGGTTATTGTTCAAAATTCTTCAGTGGCAGCACCAGGCCTTTAGGGAAGGGTCCCTTTCACATTAATTGCACCTTTTCAAGTCAGCCTTTTGTTCCCAACACTCCTTTTGTTTTTTGGAGGCTTATCCTGGTCCCGAAGTCTAATTTGTCTGTCACCCTGGTCCCCTCATAGTCCAGGGGACTCTGCTGTCCCCAACTCCCCCCAGCTGGCTGGAGCTCGGAGCAGAATTCCAGCACTGCCCAGGGAGTCCCTTGGCACCATAAAAACTAACAGATTTATCTGGGCATAAACTTTCGTGGATAAAAAAGCATATGCCCAAATAAATCTGTTAGTCTTCCAGGTGCCCCCGGACTCCCTGTTGTTTTTGTGGACACAGACTCACACGGCTACTTGACACCACTGCCTAGCTGTAAGAGACTCGAGTCAGCACCGTCTTGGCGCTGGCAGGAACTAAGCTGATCCGCTTCGCTTTGGTCAGTTTTACTCCGTTCTGTCAATACGGCGGGGCTCGGTTTTCCCAGCCACGGCGGAGCTGAGCGCAGGCGAGGCGCTGGCTGGGCCCCGGGGATTTTTAAAGCACAGATTTCAGGCCCTCTCCCTGCCCCGAATCCATCTGTCCCCGGCTGCAGGCGCTGCCCGAACTCCTCCCGCCTCTCCTCTAGCCCAGCCGCGGAGTTTTCACCGCAAAAAGAGGGGAGGGCGCGGGACGGGGGAAGGTGTCTGCTGTTCCCCATCCCGCTCGGCTGCAGAAACACGCTGCGGCTTGGACCGGCCTGGGGGCGGCGGGCAGCGGCCGGCGGGTGCTGAGAAGGGGAGGCAGGTTATACCCCCCAGGGTCCAGCCCCGCCCGCCTGCACCTGGCCGGGGCTGCGCGGCCCGCAGAGGCTCGGAGCGGGCGCGGAAGCAGCGCCCCCAGCCCGGGGGTGGTGCCGGGGGAGGGCTGGCGGGGCCAGGGCGTCTGCAAGCGGGCGAAGTCCCCGGCGCGGCGGCCAATGAGCTTGGCGGAGGGGGCGGGCCGGGGAAAAGTTTGCCGGGAGCCAGCGGCGGCGCCAGCCGGCCGGGCCAATCAGAGCGGGGCAGCCCGGCTGGGAGCGCCCGAGACCGGGCCGCCTGCCTGCGCCAGTGCGGGGAGCCGGGCAGCCGCCGAGCGCTCGCCAGCCCCAGGGCGCGCGGGGGGAGCCGGGGCCCGGGCTGCGCTGAGCGCCCGCGGGCGGCCGTAGAGCGCGGCGCCGGGCCGGAGAGGATGGCCGGGGGCGCCCTGCGCCTGGCCCTGCTGGCCGCGCTCTGCCTGCGGGGCTGGGGCCACCCCGACGCCACCTGCCAGCGCGTCCGCGCCGCCTTCCAGCTGCTGCAGCCCGGAGCCAAGGGGGTGCCCGAGAGCCCGGTGGCAGGTGAGCCGGAGCCAGCCAGGCGGCAGGAGTTTGGGAGCGGGGGGTGGCGCAGCGCAGGGTGCGGGGTGACAGGTGCGAGGGGCCCCGGGAGCTCCCCCCCCAGAGGCGGCTGCATCCAGCCTCCTAAGCGAGCCCCGCGGGCTCGGCGAGGGCAGGCGGGTGCCTGGCTCGCCCTGCTGGGGGCTGTGGAAGGAGAGAGGCGGTGAGCGGAGCTCGGCGTCCCCAGGGAGGCGGCGGTAGCTGCGCCCCCCCCCCGGAGAGCTCGGGAAGCAGCGTGGCCATCCCCGTTCCCTCGGGCCTGCGGGCGCTTCCCCGGCTCCTGCCCGCGCGTCGCTGCGGGGAAAGTTGGTGGAAGTCTCCGGTCCCCTCCCGCGGGCTCGCAGCGCTGGCTGGGTCGGGGTCAGTGCCCGTGTTCCTGGCTCTGCTTTAGCGGCAAACCTCGCTCAGGGCTCGGGCATTCTGCGTGTTCGGCTTCGGGGCCAAACGCGCCCCGGGTGCAGCCTCCTTACACCGGGGATGGAGTTAGCCCTCTGGCTTTGGGTCTCTTCCCCCGCTCCGCTAACCCCCTGGAGCCTGCGGGGGGCTGGCTTTGCTGAGAGCGACCTGGGCTCGGGCGACCAGCAAGGGCTGCAAGCTGGTGGGTTGCCTCTCCGGCCGGGTGCGTGGCTCTCCAGCCGCCGGTCCCGGTGCGGGGGACCCTCCCTCTCGCCCGGCCGGCGGCAAACGCGCTGCCGCGGCTGCTCCGCGCTTGGCTACCCCGAGAAAAGCAGGCGCGTAGCTACGGGAGCGAATTCGGCGGGTGGAGGCCGGAGGGAGAAGGGTTTCCCCGCGTGCGCTCAGCCCCGCACCGCAGCCCGGCGTCCCCGCCCTGGCTCGCTACTTACCCCGGGGTTACACCGCGCCGGCGGGCGGGCGAGCTCTCCGCCTTGAAGAGCGAATTCGTGATGGACCTGACCCGGGGCGGGCGCGGCGTGCCCCGAGCGCCCCCGGCAGCCCGCGCTGGGCAGGACCGAGCCCTCCAGCCCCGGCGTCAGTGTTGGGAAGCTGCCCCACGCACTCCCACCCGTCTCCCAGACGGGAGCCCGGGTCGGCAGCCGCGAAAGGCGGGTGCGCCGAAACGCCCGACCCGATCCCCTCCCTCCTCGTCTCCCTGAGCGGCCCAGACAATCCGGGCGTGCGGGGGGGCCCGGTGGTCTCCAGGCCCGGACCGCTTGCCACCTGGGCTTTCGCTTTCCATTTTTGGGGTTGACTAGAGAGTGCGGGGGGCGGACAACCAGGGCGCCCTGCTCTAGACCATGTCTCTAGGACAAGTACACGAGAAGGGTGTCGCGCCGGAGATGAGGAATTGCTCGTTCGCTTCGCGGGGGCAGCCGCCGCCTTTGGGAGCCGTTCTCTGACTCTTCCTCCCCACGCTCTTAACGGGGCTGTGCTCATTGTGTGGAGGGAGGAATATAGACACGGGTGACCAGTGGAGAATTGCCTTGTCTGGGGCTTTCTGCAGTGTCCTGCCTGTTCTGCGACCTTGTCTCCTGCGCGGAGCAGTGTGTTGGGATGGAGATCGCTTTGATTCCCCTACTGGAGTTCACAAACTCCGTGGGGGAAAAACACGCTCTTGGAAAGCTTTCTTCACTGTATATGCGATTCGTACAACATCCCTTTCTTGACAAGCACTGGAGAAAAAGCCAATGTTAAGTGTCAGGTTTCAGAGTAGCAGCCCTGTTAGTCTGTGTACGCAAAAAGAACAGGAGGTCTTGTGGCGCCTTAGAGACTAACCAATTTATTTGAGCATAAGCTTTCGTGAGCTACAGCTCACTTCATCGGATGCATGCAGTGGAAAATACAGTGGGGAGATTTTATATACACAGAGAACATGAAACAGTGGGTGTTACCATACACACTGTAAGGAGAGTGATCAGCTAAGGTGAGCTATTGGGGGGGGGGGGGGGGGGAACCTTTTGTAGTGATAATCAAGGTGGGCCATTTCCAGCAGTTGACAAGAACGTCTGAGGAACAGTGTGTGTGTGCGGGGGAATAAACACAGGGAAATAGTTTTACAGGAAGAGGAGAAACAGAATGAAAACCTGCCCAAAGGGTTCATTGGTATTTCCCAGTTCAGTGTAATTGCACAAATTACAGCGTAGCCAGGGTGTAAGGAACTCTCTTGTGTAACTTCAAATGGAATAACTTTTCTAGAGTTTGTCGCTATTATTTAATAGCGAGACCAGAGCTGCAAGTTACATGCTAGTTTTTAAACAGCACAGTGCCCACTTGGCTCATATACAACAGCATGCTAATAATGCATTCCTAAGTATGTTGAACTGGGTCAAAAGAATGTCTTTTAAATAATTGTCATAAAATGGAATTTGTGATAGATTAGCATATTTTTTGTAAAAGCTGTTTTAGTTAGGGAAGATTTGGATTACCTGTTAATGATGGCTATTTATCTCTTCTTTACCCAATTCTTCTATTTGATGTCCTTTATACAAACACTGAACAGCATAAAAACTGTGTGTGAAATTAGTCCCCCTGCAGAGTAACTCGCTGCAACCAGAAAAGGAGTACTTGTGGCACCTTAGAGACTAACCAATTTATTTGAGCATGAGCTTTCGTGAGCTACAGCTCACTTCATCGGAGCTGCAACCAGAAAGTGACGCTGGGCTCTGACGCATGAGTGAACAGAACACTTAAGAGTCACAAGGTCTGGTTCCCCTGTGGTGATCTGGAGCACCCTGTGTCTTAGTAGTACCCAGTCACATCCCCAGGGGTCTTGAACCTGTCCTCATGTGGTCTAGCCACCTCTTCAAAGGCGATGCTTTGTCTATAAGAATGTTTGCTAGGTGGCAGCTTGGTACATAAAATCAGTACCCAGGAGGAAATCTTTATTCGCAAAGCATCAGTAAGATTAGCCCCCTCATCCCTTCTTTAAGCTGTAGGCAGAGCTCAAGAATGACTTCAGTTTTGAAAAATGAGACTTCGCAAATGGTCAGTTATAATGTGACCTAATGATTTCTGATACTTCAGATGTATAGAAAGAGCTAATGGAGAAGGGGACCTCTTGATCCCGGGTTCTTAAAGTTAGGAGCATCCACAAGAAGGGCCAAACCCAGAACATTTACATCTTCAAGGTGGCTACTATGAATGCATGGGGGACTCCTTCTCAAAGCACTTCCTATGGACTCTTGCTGAGCAGCGTGTAGTGCAGGCCGGCAAGAGAAATTATAAACCGGGTGAAGCTGCACACGAGGAGCCACGGGTGCATTTTAGTGCTTACATACAGATCTACACATTCAGATTAGTGCCAGCCTAAAGTAGAAGGGCGGAGGCATACCTTTGTCTGAACATGCTGTATTAGTACGTGATAGACTTTTATACATAGGAAACAGCTGTTCAACCCACAGTGTACATCGTACATTTGCAAAATTGCCTGGTTATTCGTTACAGATGGCAATGGCTGCAGAGGGCCTGTTACTCTTCTTCTCAACTCTTGCACTGTGAGAAGTCTCTCTCCAGTTTTTTTACCTTTTTAAAAAAAAATGTAAATGGGGAAAAAAACCTGAAATTCACACTCTTCAAAGTCCCACTTTGACTCTCTCAAAGCCAGTCTAGCTCTCTACCTGTCCGGGGTTGCAGAACATAAGGTATGGTACCTATGGTTTGGGGAACCATACAACAGTGAACCTTAAAATATTATTATTGTTTGTATTACAATAGCGCTTTTGTGCTAGGCACCATACAAACCTAGGGCAAAAAGACAGTCCCTGCCCTGAAGAGTTTGCAATCTAAGCATAAAAGACAAGAGACTCCAGGTGCAAACAGTAATCAGGTAGGGGAGTGCAAGGGAACAATGGGCTGATCATGAGCAGCATGATAAGCAGTGGTCAGAAATAATTATGCTGTCTTATGTTTACATAGCACTTTTCATTGAGAGTTTCATAGCACTGGCTGTACTATAGATATAAGAATGGCTTCACCTATTTCTGAAATGCAGAACACTTCACAGCCATTTGGGACAGGCAGTGGAGAAGAATACATTTGCATCTAGTTTGAGACTTCAGAGTATTGGTCTTAATCCCTGTGAGTTCTGAGTCCTTAGCTAGATAGACCTTTGTCATTTTTCAGCAATGTCTTAAATGTGTGATAGTCGCTGGAGAGAACCTAGACCCAAGTACCGGTGAGGTCAGGACACGTTTTCTCTCCTGTCTCCCTTGCCCAGATTTTTGTGGTGTCCTGTTGATGTTCCCTTCAGAATAACTGCAGAACTTTTGCTCCTGCATCCCTAGCTTTTTCATGCGGTTGCACCTTTTGAGGGAGTGTGTTTATATGCCATGCATGACTATAAATGAATTTAGGACCTCTTTTTATATTTTCTAGTCAGAAACCATATTTGTTTGAATGGCACTTTCCTCCAGGTACTTAAAGTTAATTATCTGCATCCAGTAGGTGTAATCTGGCTGACAGGCTGGGCTTTGCAAATCCTGCAAACTCTCTGAAGTGTGCTAAAATGAGTTTATATAGATAACAAATGTGTGGTGGGTAGACAGATAAACTAGAACAGGCTGCAGCAGCTAAGACTGGGCAGAGAAGCAAAGTCTGTTAAAGAGGGGAAACTCTATCCCGTATTGCTCAGCCTGTCAATCTGAGAGCAGAAAAGGTAAGAACCACCTTCTCTGCGGACCGTGGGATGTATTTGGAAATCAAGGTCCTGATCTTGTAATGTGCTTCTAAGCTGTCAAGGTTCCTCCCCCACTCTGAACTCTAGGGTACAGATGTGGGGACCTGCATGAAAAACCTCCTAAGCTTATCTTTACCAGCTTAGGTCAAAACTTCCCCAAGGTACAAAATATTACACCCGTTATCCTTGGAATGGCCGCTACCACCACCAAACAATTACTGGTTACTGGGGAAGAGCTGTTTGGACGCGTCTGTCCCCCCAAAATACTTCCCAAAACCTTGCACCCCACTTCCTGGACAAGGTTTGGTAAAAAGCCTCACCAATTTGC